CAGCAGGATGACACGGACCTGAAAGAAAGTGATCATAACACAAATAAGGGGAACTTCTGTGCATTTTAGAAGTTTTTGAAATATTTCGTTACTATTACAGTTAGTCTGGTTGGTACTTCAGAAAGACTGACTTTTTCATGTGTTCTCCAGATATCTGCTTTCAAATGTTTTTTTTTTTCAGGTCTGGCTTTTTCCCAAGAATGACCTTTTTTTGGATATGTCTTGAACATAGAGGTGTTCAATGCCCACGACGCTTATAAAGCAAAAGAGATGTAAAATCTTACTTTACAAAATTATTCTGGAAGTCCCATCTTTAGCTAACAATCCCAGATTTCTGTAATTGAGCAGAGGGCACAAATCTGTCTGCATGGTTTTCAACATTTCTCAGGTAGTATGGAAAGGGATACACGTAAATATTTGGGGGCCAATGTTTAGATTCTGCTGAAAAAACCCTGTACAATAGAGCAACAGCTGGTTTTAGCATATTCTTCACCGCTATCTCTAAGTCTAAATAAACAGCCTTGTTTGTTGGGGTTGTTTGTTTTTTTTTATTTGAGAGCCATTTTAATACTCCTTTGAAGAGTTCAGCCACATAATACAACAGGCCTTTTTTTCAAAAATATAGTAGTAAATCAATTAAATGGGGCAGTTCAAAATCTGAATGCTACTCTCAACTGCTGTCATTTCCCTGTGTTCTGGTGTACAATTGCTCTGGCACATCACAAGAGCACTCTAACCTGTACATGGCAGATTGTGTACCATATGTTTCTTGTCAAGGTCATCAAATGAGCTAACTCCAGTTTTTTTCACCGTGAATTGATTTTCAAATCTCTTGTCTGAAACCCGAGCATTATGTAATTCCTATTGTTAAAATTGTTTACAGTGAAAGGCAGTAAAAAGGCAGTGAAATCAGTAACATCTTGGGTGAAGGGCAGCAAACTAAATCAGTAGAATCTTGTAATTATAAAGTCCTTCAGGTATTATGCATACAAAATGGATATTTGCAGTGTGCTTGTGAGGGTCCCTCTGGGAAGACAGATGACCTCTTTAATGACTTTATAATTCTGAGTGCAAGTCAAATAATCTGATGTCCAGGGGAGGACATGATCTCCGTTTTCACTTCTAAGCCTTGGCCCAGGACTGGCTGTGTGATCCTGCTCCAGTCACTTTGTCCATGTTTGACTCGAGACCACACTTTGCCTCCAGGGTTGTTTTAGATGCAAGATGATTTGTCTCCTGTGTTTGCACAGTACAGATGCAGAGATGGGGAAATTACACCTAGCACTTCAAGTTGCTGCTGTGATGATAAGCATAATTTCAGAAAGGAGAAGGCATTAATTACTACAGGTGGGAATAATAATAGTACAAGCCACAAATAATGATCAGCGGAAGATGGTTACACCATTTTTAGATTGTGCAGTGAGAGCTATTCTGGGTCACAGCCCCGTGCCATTTTCTGTGAGCCTTTCTGCTTCTTTCCCCCTAATGAATCTTTTATTCTTCATCCTGAAGGACTGTTTTCCTGCTATTCATATTATTCTGCTTTCATTGGGGTCTGTGAATATTTCATTACTTCCTCCATGGTCACCACAGACAAACGGAAAACTAATGTAGCAGCCTAAAAAATTTATCCTAATTGAACTTACTTAATTACAATGTCCTCTGACTGCTTATGGACACAAAATGGAACATCATGGAACAAAGTAAAAGTTTCAATTGCTAGCAATATTTCAACAGTGTCAGTGGCAAAGGGGAGAGAGAAATTAATTCTCCAGTACTGTGAAATTCCAAAATACTAAACCAGACAAACTTTCCTATTAGAAAATGTTAATATGTCTGCCTTAGCTCTGGAAGGAAACGCTAGGTGAAAAAGCTACATTCCACAGAAATGCTACTTTTTCTTTCAAGACAAAGTGTTTACTCCTTAGGGAAATTATATTTATAAATAGAGCCAAACCCATTTCCCATAGAAAAATAAATACACAGCAGACAGCAATACAGATTTTCATTTCCTTGAATTTCCAAGTGCCCTATTTCCTTGAAAACGCAAACACTCAGGCATCAATCTGTTCTTCTCATTAATTCAGGAGATGTGTTGTTGGAAAACAGGCTGGGCATGATGGTATGAATCCATATTCTCACCTGGATTATCGTATCTGGATTTCTATGACAGAAGGACACAGGTACAGCTGCCCTCTGAGGTCAACAGCCTACCCCTGCTGTGATACTCTCCCCCAAGGTCCTCTCCTAACCAAAATACAACTGTACTGCTAGACCCATCGCAGCCACCTGCACAGCCTAGTCCAGAGGGGAGAGTCTCTAATTAAAACTCTACTGATAAGGGGCATCAGCACCCAAGTAAATCTGTGCACATCCAGGTTTAATGCATATTGAAACAAAAACCTGAAACCTAACAAACCTGATTTGGGTGTAGCAAAAAGCCAGTTCTTGCCTTTTCCCACAAAACCCTTTCTTCTCTCTGTGCTTGGTCCCTCCACATCTCTCACCAACAGTCTTGGTTGTCAGTAGAGGTAGGTCAATGGAGCTGTAACCCATGCCTGATGTTATCCACCCCCAAACTGTTCCTTGGCTGGAGCTTCTTTAGTGCTCTTTTCCATGCTAGCTCAGCAGACAATGTAAAAGGTGTATCTCACTTCTCAGCTGAGTATCCAATGGATGCCCTGACTTAACACCTTGGATTTAAAGTCCTCTCCTGGAAAAAGTTGACTTTAGTACGTTATCAAGGACTAAGAGAAAGACAGTTCTCAGCAGTGGAGTAAGGGAAGAAGTGAGCACCTACAGGGAGGCAAAATGCTAACATATACATCACCTCTCTCTTCTGGTTCAAAGGCCAAGCACGGAGCCCTTGAGACACAGACAGTGAAAAGAAGCTGCTCAGCTGTAAACAATTTAGAAAGCAGGTATTTAGGCAATGTCGTCAGTTAAATCTTCTCAATCTGGAGCTGCTCCCACACAAGCCCAATGCCTTCCCCTGCAACTTACTGCAGCAGCTAATTCCATTTAAGCAGGAGGTGAGAACAATCCTGTAACAATTAATCAGGGCTAGAGCTTTGCAGTAAACTGATGTCCATGAGGAGGAGGGTTTAGGGACTAAGCAGATGATAGAGGTACCTGCTGGGACTGGAATTGCAGAGAACAATTTTCAGGTAAGCAATTTCTCTCTTTCTGCAGATGTTAGATTCCTGGGGTTTATTGAGCAAAATCCAGTTTTATTGTGAAGGTATGAACTGGGAAAAGGAAGATCCACCCACTGTAAGTGAAGATCAGGTTTGAGGCCATCTAAAGAACTTTAAGGTGCACAAGTCCATGGGACCTGATGAGATCCATCCACGGGTCCTGATGGAACTGGCGGGTGAAGTCCCCATCATATTTGAGAAGTTGTGGCACTCTGGTGAAGTTCCTGCTGACTGGAAAAGGGGAAACATAACTCCCATTTTCAACAAGGGTAAAAAAGAAGACACGGGGAACTACAGGCCAGTCATTCTTACTTCTGTGGCTGGCAAGATCATGGAGCAGATCCTCCTGAAGGCTCTACCAAAGCACATGGAAAATGAAGGACAGGTGATTGGTAACCAGCATGGCTTCTCCAAGGGCAAATCGTGCCTCACAAACCTGGTGATCTTTTATGATGGAGTTACGGTGTCAGTGTACAAAGGAAGAGCAACTGATGTCATCTACCTGGACTTCTGCAAAGCCTTTGACACTGTCCCACACGACATCCTGGTGGCCAAATTGGAAAAATATGGATTTTATGGATGGACTACCCGCTGGATAAGGAATTGACTGGCTGGTCATACTCAGAGAGTTGCGGTCAATGGCTCTATGTCCAAGTGGAGACCAGTGAAAAGTGGCATACCTCAGGAATCAGTACTGGGACCAGTGCTATTTAACATCTTTGTTGGTGACATGGACAGTGGGATCAAGTGCACTCTCAGCAACTTTGCTGACAACATCAAGCTGTGTGGTGCAGTCAATATGCTAGAGGGAAGGGATGCCATCCAGAAGGAAATGGACAGGATTGAGAAGTGAGCCCATGCCAAACTCATGAAGTTCAGCAAAGCAAATTGCAAGGTCCTGCACATGGGTTGAGGCAATTCCAAGCACAAATACAGGCTGGGCAGAGAATGGATTGAGAGCAGCCCTGAAGAGAAGGATTTGGGGGTGTCGGTAGAGGAAAAACTGAACGTGAGCCATCAGTGTGCGCTTGTGGCCCAGAAGGCCAACCAGATCCTGGGCTGTATCAAGAGGAGTGTGGCCAGCAGTTCAAAGGAGGTGATTCTGCCCCTCTACTCTGCTCTCATGAGACCCCACCTGGAGTACTACATCCAGCTCTGGGTCCCCCAACACAAAGAGGACATTGAGCTGTTGGAGCGGGTCCAG